TCAAATAAAAAACTTACTATAAAACTATAATAAAAACAGTGTTAAAAAAAAAAAGTGTGGCATAGCACATGTCTAAAGTCAATGAACAGAATAAAATCCAGAAACAGACATTAATATATGTGATAATCTAATAAATTTATCACAAAGGTGACATATCAAATCAGCAGAGAAAAGATGAATTATTTAATAAATTAGATAAACATCTAACAGTATCAATACATTTAATAAATTATACTATGAAATAATAAGAGAATTCTCTATCACCTCAGAGCAGAAAAGTTCTCCCTATGAACTAATACTGAGCAACCATAAAAAAGACAAATACACTTAAATGCAAAAGTAGAGTGAATCAAAGGACAAAAAAACAAAGTGAATTTGCACCTTATATAAAAAATGTTGGATTAATTTTACTTACAAAAAGAGTTTCTACGAATCAATTGTTAAAAAAAAGACCGAAACAAATTAAAGTCAATTCACATTGTACATCTTTTTTTCAAAAAAGATGTACAAATGGCTCTGTAACAAAAAGAAGATGCTTAACTGTACTCAAAAATAGAGAAACGCAAATCAAATCTACACCAAGATATTAATGTTCACTATCAGAATGGGTAACAAAGCTTGGTAACCAGCTCAAAACAGAAACATATAAACTCTCTTCTGCAGCTACTGTCCATTTAGAAATGTGCACGCCTATTTATTAAAGCATTGTTTGTAACAGAAAAAAAAATCTAGAAACAATTCAAACATGTATTAGTGAACTGGTTGAAGAAATTATATTTACATTCATATAATGGATTTACGATGCAGCTTTGGAAAAAAAGAACAAGTAACAAAGAATTAGGAAACCCCTCTAAGTACAGACAACTAAATCAACCAGCAAGTAGCAGAATGCACCATTAGAGTAAAGAGGTTAAAGAAGAGAATAACACATCTATTTGCTTGTATTGTGTATCTCTGGAAAGATACATAAGAAACCAGTAACAGTTGTTACTTACTTAGGGAAAAGAATGGTGACTTAAGGTCTGGGGAAGAAAGAAGCTTCATGTTGAATATCCTTCTATACTTTGCATTTTGAACCACATGAATGAACAGCATATTGAAAAAAATTAAGTTTGTAAAACAGAAAGAAAATATGAGGGCTTCTACAATCTTTTTTTTTTTTTTGGAGAGGTTTTTGCTCTAGGGCGCGTGTGCTCCCCAGACAGAGAGAGAGAGACAGAGACAGAAAGCAAGAAATAACCCCCCAGGGGGGATGGCCATGCTGCAATCCCTTTTTCTCCATTCTCCTCTAGGAATTCTGGGCACGCACGCACAACCATTCTCCTCTAGGAATTCTGGGCACGCACGCACAAGCACCCGGTGTAAATTTAAGCTACTGGGTCCGGGAATTGAACCCCAGTCGACTACATGGGAGTCCAGCGACACAGCCATTACACTAACTGCTGGTCCCAGGGCCTCTACAATCTTGAAGGCATAATTAAGACTTAGTTTTCTTTGATTGTCAACTTTAAGTATAGGGCAAAATATATTGTTGATCACAAAAACACCTAAATAAAGGATTCTTTTATACTACAAATACTATTGACCAAAATAATGAAAAATAATGAAGACAACACAAATAAATTACTGCATTTCTGAAGATGTCTTTATCTGTTTCAAAAATAGGCTGTATCTCTCTAACCATATTACAAATATTTTGTCAGACCGAACTTCCTGCTTGGAAGTAGGAGGAGACACAGGAAATACAAATCATTATGAGAATGAATGGGGGAAAAAAGCAAAGGATTTTTCTTTTAAAGTTATTAAAAGGGGGGAAAAAAGGTGCATTCCATATTTAAAATGTACAAAAAGGGAGGTACTAAAGATTCCAATTCTTACTTCTTATGTATAGAAAATGCCCAGACTATGAATTCAAACCTGTTACCAACAAACAAGATTTTATATCCCTGATTCTAAAGTTATTCTGTATGGGGCTTTTTTAGTGTGAACAGTATGGTAAATTTGAAAAATGCATTTGACAGTTAAGAGCTCCAAAACAAGTTGATTGCTTAAGTCACTTGTTTTTAAAATGTAACCAGGGTCTAAGATGAAATGATCTCCATATTCCTGACAGCTTTCAGATCCTACCCTGCAAAAGTTTCCCTTTAAGTTTTCCCTCTAAAATAGAGATAATAAGTGTACAGTTAAAACAGTTTTTGGAAAGATTGAAGTATGCAAAGTATTTAGACTGTTTGGTACAGAACTGACATTCAAAATGATTTCTACCTACCCCTTGTCTTTCTAGGTTTTGAGAACTAAATTACCATTTGACAGAATAAAATAAACTCTGATTAGACCTCCATTTTTGACATCACTGAGTACTTTTTGTTTGGGGTATCAATAACATTTTTAGAAGGCCTCAACAGTAAATAAGGACAGAGATAGGGAGAGAAGTTTTATTTTAAAACATAAAATTATCTCAAAGGAAAGACAATTTTTTAAGTTTCCGAGTCTCACAAAATTCTATTGAAACAGAGTAAATTGTGTCCAACAACATTGTAACCTTTTGCTTTTAAACTGCAACCAGCATAGAAGCAAAATAGTAATAATGAGCCCAAGCGTAAAGACAGTCATAGTAGGAAATAATATTCAAAAGATTGCTTTACCTCAAAGATAAAAAGACCTTCAAGGCAGCTGAGAAACCACTCTCTTCAAGTCTGTGTCTGGAATGTGGACACCAGCTACACACAACACAGGCTGCTCCTTCCCCAGGACATCCTGACTGCACACAATAGCAACTGACAACAATTGAACTAGGCCGCTATTTCCAAGCATGGAAATTTTACTATCTATAGACCTAATTTCCCTATCTAAGTAAAGTTAAGTGGCACTAGTAAACATTCTATTTAAAAACAAATTTGGTTACTAAGCACATTTTTAAGTCACAACAGAAGCTATCTTTGTTTCCTATTTAAAATCATCTATGTTTTTTCCTAGTGCTTGAAATACTGAAAAAAGGAAACCATATAAACCCCGTAAATCTATGTCAGGGCGGGGTAAGTGGCTTAAATACATAGGCTGCGTTTTATTCATAAGGGCTATTTTCTCTTCCTGCCTCAACTCTTGACATTTGCCTTTTGCCCTCTCCAAACACGAGCAAGGTCATCAACCTCATCCTGCTCTTCGTACCCAGAGATCTTGTAGAAGAGGCTTTTATCATAGCTGCACCCCACCACCCCCAGCCCAGTCAAATCCCATGCGACCTTTGAGATTTCAGGCAGGTATCCCCTTCCAAAGAAGTCTTTCCTTTCCTCGCTCATTCTAGCACAGGCTCCTCACTCTGCTCTCAGAGTGCCTGTGTATCCCTCTAGCACAGAATGACCACAGGACAGCTGATGTTTTGTCTGCCTCTGCCTCCATGACACCACTGCTACCAGAGGTTATTTTTTACAGTCACATTACTTAAAGCTGCATTACCTTATTAATGACATTTAACACTGATGATCACGTCTCAAAACAGCACTTTTCAAATTCCCTGGCACCTCTGCAGATCACCTCACTATCTACTAGGTGTTTCTCTGGTTTTTCTACCTTTTCTCTGTCCCTGGAATCTCGTATCAGGGCTCTATTTCCTCTGCACACTCAGAATTGGTATCATCTTCTTCTGTTACCACCTGAACATCAATATCTCCCAAGTGCACATCTTCAGTGCCAAAGTTCTCCAACATCCCTTACCCCTTGTCTTATGTTTTGTCAAATCAGTATCTATACCCTCTTAAAAATGGAACCAGCAGGCGGTATAATGCTTACGTCACTGTACTTCCACATAATCAACCCTGGTTCAAGTCCTGGACCTGGTGGCTTAAAATTCACACCAGGCTCATCTGCATGCATTCAAAAATCCCAAGAGGAGAATGAAGGAGAAGAGACAGCAATGTGGCCATCCCACCTAGGGGGTGATTTCTTGCTTTCTGTCTCTTTGTCTCTCCGGTGAGCACATGCGCCTGATAGCAAAAATCTGTTTTTTAAAACAAAACAAAACAAAAAAACCTGCATACAACTACTACCAAAACCCCAGCTTTCATCCTCACATAGTCCCTTATCCCAAACAATCTCCTAACTGATCTCCCTGTCTGGTCTCATCCCTTCTCAAGTACTCCCTTCATTCTCAACCCTTCTTATACACTGCAGCCCCAAAATTTTACCAATTTTTTGAGATCAGTTATTTTACCAGAACATAATGTGCCAATTCATGATTATAGTTTCAGCACATATGTAATACACATATTAACCCATATACATATGTATTTGATAAACTTTATTTTAAAATACTATTAACTTTATTTTCACATTTAAAAATGAGGTCTCAAAAGTCTTCTTTTTCTCCATTTGGTTTCCTGTATGAGGTGGAGTCACTACAAATGACTCTTCATTACCAATGGTTCTCACATAATGAAGACTTGGCACACTAATAAACCACCTCAAAAGAAGATGTGCTTGTTCATAAAACTCCATTTTTTTTAGAGAGAGATATATGCTATAGGGAGAGACAGAGAGAGGCAGAGGGGCAGAAAGTGAGAAATCACCCCCTGGGGGATAACTACATCACAATCCCTCCTCTGCCATTCTCCTCTCGGGATTTGGACATGCACACACGTGTGTCTGGTGTGAGTTTAAACCACCAGGTTGAGGACTCGAACCATAGCTGCCTACACAGGAGTCCAGTGACATAACCATTACACCATCTGCTGGTCTCATAAAACTCCACTTTTAAACACCAGTTGCTTGGTTTAAGCTGCTATTTTAAGTTAGTTGTTAGTTTGCTAACAAATAGAGTTAATTTTTAAAAGAAAGAAAGCTTAGGAATATGTAAATATCAAAGTGTACATAATTCCTTATTTGATACCCATCGTACCAATTCCAAGGGAGGGGGCAGCTATAAAATCATCACAGACAAAAACGTATCACCTGGATCCTTTTTAAAATGCCACATCAACCCACCTTCAATATATCTTCCTTACCTTTCACTTTGGCTGTAAGCATTTCTGCAGCATTTTGAAGATCAACAGAATTGAGGTTCTGATGTTTATTCATTATAGACTTTAAGACGCGAAGAAGTTCATCCAGACGTATGTGAATGACTTCTTTAAAACAGTCTTAAAAAGGAAAAAAAAATTAATTTGTTTCCGAAGTTCTAGAAATCTAAACTATGAAATATTATTTGAAGCACATTTCAAGTAGAAGCATTGGTTCCACAATTTTTGCCTACTATTGATGTATGTTCACTTCTATGTTCATTATCCTAATTATATACAATTTATATTGTATATAATTCAGAAACTTCTGTCATTTTAAATCATTAAAGATTTCAAAGGCTCTAATAGTTACAGTCAATTCAGCACAAGCTCTTTCAGTTTTCTGTGTAAATATGCTTTCCAGATTTCCCTTCAGGTAACTGTGTAAGGTAACTTTCTTGTCTTATAGTTTTTACTATGATATACTTAAAATATATGTGGTAACAGAGTTAAAAACTCTACAAAGTCTGACAGATTAACCAAAAACAAACACGCTAAGTTTTGACATTAGAATAGATTCTTTGCATTAAGTAATTATCAGTATTTGGAAATCAGTAATTCTCAGGCATATATAAGATCATTTCATCTGCACCATTTAAAAACTACAATTTATATATGATATATACAGAGCTTTCATAAACTTTAATCCTTTTCAAAAAAATTTAATTAATCACCAGTAATGAAAAACTGATCAATCATTACAAAATTTCCACATTTCTGCCTACTCTATAGGAAAAAAATCAAGACCTGGTTATATCAGGCCTCCGTTCTTCCTGGGCACAGTGGCTGGACGTGTGCTCTTTCCCAGCACCCGCTTGTCTACCCGAGCCTACTCCGCACATCTACACGTCACTCCTCAGAGGAGAGAGAGTTCTAGAATCCCCTAAGGTGACCGGAATTGCTCACCCACTCCCGCAGTAGAGCAGGGGTACTACTCATCATGCTAGCACAAGCACGATCCTGGATCATCGCAGCGGGCAGACTGCAAGTGCAAGCGAGCCACCTTTAAGAACTCTGAAGTATAATGCTCACAGGTTGGAAAAACAACCTTCTTAAATCCAGTGCTTTGCCATTAAAAACAAAGGATATTATCACACTTAATGTTCATATTAATCTTATTGGGTAGATAATCTAAAAATCTCCATTGCACAAATGAAAAATCAAGGAATACTGAAGTTTACCAAGTTAATAAACTGTGGAGTCAGAATTTGAACCCATCAAGTGTGATCCAGACCCTTACTGTTATACTGCCTGTCAACTGAAATAGCTTTAAAAATAAAACAATTTTTAATATAGTATCATTTTATAACTACACAAATTAGTTACTTTTCAAAAATAGTAAATCACTAGAAGAAAAACTATACATTTATATATTTTTCTATTATTATTTATCAAATAGTCTATTTGTTAACAGCTTATCAAGAGAAAGAAACGTGCATAATGACAGGAATAGGAAAAGTGGGAACACGGTGGTGAGCTGTCTGTAGTAGGGCAGAGCACTCAGGGAGAAGCAAAGAGGGTAACAGTCTGGAAGCAGAGAACTCAGGGCCAGCTAGGAGAAAATCTGAGTCACTCAGCCAACTAATTTAATCAACGGAAAAAAGAACAACAAGGGAAATGAGTGGAGTTCATAAGACTACAAGGAAAGGAAGTACATGTAAGTACTGTACTCTAATTGGTAAAGTTTTTCCAATGCATGTTTGAGTTAACAATTCTAACATACCATACACGCATGCATGGTACTGAACAGCAGAGCAAATGGACAGCAGATGGTGAGAACTAGTGATCCCACTGCTGGAGTGAAAATTCAAAACAAGCAGGGGGATGAAGCCCTAAGGGCCCATGTAGTGACCGACTGAATACTTCAGTAGGAACTCATGTTTTGCTTAATATAAATACAGATGGCTACATACAGAAGTATTTATGGAGGGGCCAGCAGGTAGAGTGGTGGTTAGGTGATGGACTCTCACATGGCCGACTGCAATTCAAGTCCTGAAGTGGCAACTTGAAAATCATGCTGGCTGCATATGTTTGCATGCCCAAAATCCCAGGAGAAGAATGGAGGAAAAGGGATGGCGGCATGGCCATCTGCCTTAGGGGGTGATTTCTCACCTTCCCTCTTGCTGACTGTCTGCCTGTCTGTCTCTCTCTCTCTCTAGCAAGCACACATGCCTATGGCAAAACCTTAAAAAATTTAAAAAAAAAAAAAAGGAAAGAAAAGAAAAGAAAAAATTTATGGAAATGTGTGTAGGTATGTATAGGTTAGTACACACATATAATTTACTTGCTGTCAAGTGAGATGGCAAAAAGAAATGAAACCTCAGTAGCAACGAGCACACCTAGCAACCAAACCTTGGTTTTCTAATAGCATTCTCCAATGAAAAGGAATTATTGCCAAGGGTTCTTAGAGAAATGGCTGAGTCTAGAACTAGAGCAGAAAATGTACAAATTGAATCAGTATTGTGTAATACTGGAACAGAAGTGAGAGCTAATAACAAAACAAAATAAAACAAAATTCAACCTATAAACAAGAGAGAATATTAAAAGTGCACAGGAATAAACTGAAAGAGTTCCCACTGACCAAAACTGGAACAATTTTGGCAATTTAGGATAGTACTGGACTATCATCATCATTATTATTATTATTTTGGAGAGGTTTTGCTATAGGGTATATGTGCTTGCCAGAAAGAAAGAGACAGAGAAACAGAAGGCAAGAAATCACCCCCCGGGGGAGATAGTCACACCGCAATCCCTTCTCCATTCTCCTCTCGGGATCTTGGGCACACATGCACATGCACCTGGTGTGAGTTTAAGCCACCGGGTCCAGGACTCGAACCATGATCTACAACATGGGAATCTAGTGATGTAGCCATTATGCCAGCTGCTGGTCCCAGTACTAGATTATAATACAATGTATAAAATAAATTTCCACAAGTCATAGGGCCAGCAGGTGGCATGATGGTTAAAAGCGCTGGATTCCCACATGGCCGACCATCGTTCAAGTCCTGGACCTGGCAGCTTGCTTTCTCACTTTCCTTTTCTCTCTGGCTCTGTCTTGGTCAAATAAAATAATAATAATAACAAACAGAATAAAATAAATAAATTTTTTTTGAAAAACATCTACAAGTCCTGACATAAATGATTGAATAAATTAATAAACTGGCGAGAAGAAACAAATCTTACACACACACACACAAATTGCAAATGAGTTATGTATTGAGTTGTCAGAAAAGTCATAATGCATTTTTATACAGAAAAGCAAAGGAAAAATATAATGATTTTTCCAACAACCCAACAGATACTTTGTCCTCAAGGAACCGAAGTATAACTCTCTTAAGTGTGGGTTACCCACAGTGACTTCTTCAGAGAGTATACTATGGAAGGGAGGATGGGAAGAGTAACTTTACAGTGGAGAAACTTGAAAAACACTATTTAAGACAGGTGAGTAAAATCAATAACAGTGATATATTCATGTTTACAGTTAAGTACCCCCGATATGATGTGAATGTAACACTTTACATCTGTGACCTTCTACCCCTATTCCTTAAACCCCACTCTAATTATCAGAAAAACATCAGACAAATTCTAACCAAGGGCCTCCTATAGAATACCTGACTAGACTCATTAAAACTTTCAAGGTCATCATAAGTAAGGAGAGCTTGAGAAACTTACAGCCAGTGAGGACCTAAGGAGACCTGACAACTACGTGATAGGATCCTGGAAGAAAAGAACGCCATTAGGGAAAATCCATGGAAATCTGAATAAACTATGGACTTAATTAACAGCAGCATTTTGGCTAGAGGAAAAGAGACATTAAAGTTTCTATTTCATTTTATATGTAAAATCTGTTGGTAAATTACTTGGAAATGATGTAGTAATTAAGGATATATTTTATAAACATATTTTTTAAAATGTGGTTAAGTTAGTTACATATATAGTAATGTAGTCATGTAGCTAAATGGAAGATCATTTTTAAATGTCATAGTGGCTACACTGTAAATGTAATGAAATTTAATTTATATTACAAATGTACTATACATGAGAATGTAAGTTCAACCAAAGTCTTAATACTAGTTATCTGAAAAGGTGAAACTCCTATATCCCAATGTTGACTTGTTTTTTCTATCCCTACAATACAAATATGTAATGTGAATTTTAATTTATTGTTTCACGCGTTCATGTCATTTATTTTCTGCTTCATTCAGCTTATCAAGTGAAAACAGATTAGTCAGCTCCACTTTTTGGTTCTCAGGCATTAACACAATACCACAGTGTTTATATTGCAAACACTTCATGGAAATGCTTAAGTAAATAAAAGAAAAACCATGGTGTTTTCCTTGCTTTAAAAAACAAAACAACAAAACACTGCCAATAATTTAAAAATCAGTTGTGTTAATTGAGGTTAACCTCCCAAGGAAAAGGAATAAAAACAGCAAGGAGGAAAATGTTTCAGAATTTGTGAATAGGAAAATCCTATTTTTACTATAATAACTTGAATGTACAAGATAAAACTGATGCCTGAAAAACAGCAGTTTTCTTTATCTAGCTACCTGGGGACTGTAAAAATAATAATAGCTGACATTTTGAAACACTTATTCTAATAAGAGCTTTCTATTTATGAACTCATTTAATCTTCACTGAAACTCAGTGTGTACATACTATTATCTTCTTTTAGTAGAAACTGAGGCACAGAGAGGATAAATAACTTCCAGGGATAATTACAGGCAACTAGCAAGAGGCAGAATGAGGACACTTCAAGTGTTTTGGCTCTAGAGTTTGTGCTCTTAACCACTTCCAAGTATTGCCTTGTAGTTAAAGAAGTCACAGCTTACTGGCAGGTACTCTGCAATCCTTGATTTAAGAGGCTTTCACTTTCAATGAATATGCTAGTTACTACTAAAAATGGTGTTAACTTATGTAAACTATTCCAGCCAAGTGCAGAAAAGGAACACAATCCCAAGAACTAGTACAGGTGTAATAAGCAGCTACCGTATTTCGTACCATCCCTCAAAGATTCATTTCACACCTTTTAGTCACTAAGCCATAGCCTATTAACTTCTCCTAAGTGACACTAGCAATTG